CCTGGCAGAAAACGGCTCCTTTCCTCCTGCCCCCGCGAAAACCCTGACGCAGCGAAAACCGCCCTGGGAAGAGCCCAGGGCAGCAGTGTCGGCGCAACGGGCTTTTTCCAGCGGCTCCTGTGCTTTTTGGAGAGCTGTTTGCAAAGCTTCTTGGAAGCTTTAGCACCAATGCGATTAATGTGCTTGCAAAAGCGCCTGGGAAGTGGTTTGTGAAACAGGCTAAATACAACGTTCCCTCTGTTTGTTCTTAAACCCTAGAAATTTATATAAAGGGCTGGTTTGTTTCCAGCTTTTGCAGCCCTTATCTGAGTTTTGGTTTCGAGTTGCGTGTGCTGAGCCAGTTGCTCTGGGGCTTTTTCACCCTGGTGAACTCTTACGTTCTCCTGCTAGCGGCCTTTGCGTGCGCGGTTGGGAAGTACCGCAGGCTGTCCCACAGTCACGCATGTGTCATCGAGGCTTTGCGCAGTTCCTGTTCTCCTGGGAAATTTCTCCTCTTTCTTGCGAGATCCGTTAAACTGGGCCAAGATCAGCTGCGCGGGCCTCGTGCCAGCAGCACAACAGAGTGACCCTGGCTGAGGCCTGACGCTGTCATCACAGGGCCCAAAGAAGCGTGGGGTGGCTGGTGGCACAAGGATGTTCTTTGCCGGGTGGATTCAGTATCTCAGGTCTTGGAAAAACGTCCTTTGGTTTCATAGCACAATCGACTAAGGGTCTGTGCCGCTGGGCCAGACCTGAGTATGTTCCCCACCGTGGCTGAAAAGGATGGCAGTGCCTGAGGCTCGCAAAGAGGAGGAGACAGTCTGAAACGGCGTGCCAAAAATATGTCTGTGTCCCACTTAAGGAAAGGGCGCAAATGGATGCAGTCATTAAGGGAAAGGAGGGGTTTTGCTGCTTTCTCTCCACCAATGAAAGCCATGAAGCAGTGCAGAGAACAAAAGACCCTTCTGGCTTATTAGTTACCATCCTGTCACACTGCCAGTGCTGAGGGCTGTGTCTCTGTGTCCCAAAAGGGGACTGTTCCTGCCCTCTCTCCCTGGGGGAATAAGAGGGGCTTCTCTTTTTGTGGGAGAACGGGAGGTGCACGTTGAGCTGGGCAGTCTCTTACCCCGTTTTCTTCTGCTCCTCTTTCCCCAGTTCTGCTCGAGTCGCTCAACAAGAATGAACAGGCACCCAAGGGGCAGCCCCAGTCCAGGGAGTCCCCAAACGCGCAGCACAAGCAGCCGAGCGGCGATTTCCCGTCGGCCAACGGCGAGGCCGGCGGGGAGGCTCCCAAGGGCTACACGCAGGACCAGGTGGATGCGGTGAAGAGGTGCGTGCGCCGCTGCCCGTGGGTTTGGGATTGAAGGTGTCGCGCCAGTCTGGGTTTTCCCGATGTCTTAGAGATGCGTTTCGGTGAAACACGGATGCTCGTTGGAGTGCTGTCCCATCATACTGGGAAAATTCCCGGTCGTGAAGCGTGTGAGCGGAAATCATGACTCAGAGCACGCGGCAGGCGCCCCCTCTGCTCAAGCTTTGCCCTGGTGGCAGTAACTATTGTGACAGGTTACATCCTCGTCCTGCTCTCCTGCTTTTGTGCTCTCAGTCTCTGTTTAAAGCCCCATAAAATAGAAAACCACCTCAGGACACCTCACTCCGTTAGCACAATGCACTTCCAAAGCTCCAGCTGAAGAATCTCAGGGCGCTTTATCCAGTCTCCAGTTTTCCATATACTCTTTCAGCTTTGCTTTATTCCCCTGTGCCATTCCCAAGTACTGGAAGCTGAAGGACTGTTCTCCATCCTGTAGAAATCACCTGATCTTATTTTTAGGTCTGTGAGTTAACTGAACCTGGAAAGGAAAGGCTGTCAGGTCCTGACTGCTCTCTATGCCCTGCATCTCCTGCGCAGCCACCCGAACGTGACCATGACGAAGCTGGAGCTTGTTTGCCAGGCGAATGCTTTTGCAAATGAGCTCATTGCCTGGGCAGGGGCCCTTCCACCTTGACTGGCTTGACCTGTTCTTTGAGAATGTTTGTGTGGGGTGATGCAGGCGCGGTGCGGATGAGTGTGTGGAAAGAAATGGGTCACAGCCGAGTAAATCAGGGTTCAGCCAACAGCATCAGCCCAAACGGTGCTGGGCCGTGTTGCAAAGTTGACATACTCGGTGCAAAGAAACTTCCACAGCCCAAAATAACTGTCCATGTTCTCTCATCTCTCTCCTGGTGTAGGGTAAAGCAGTGCAAAGATTACTATGAAATCCTGGGAGTGAACAGGGAAGCTTCTGACGAGGACCTGAAAAAGGCTTACCGGAAACTTGCGCTGAAATTTCACCCGGACAAGAACCACGCACCGGGGGCTACAGAGGCATTTAAAGGTAAAGAGCCTTTCCAACTTTTATTTACCCTCAGCTGTCAGATGTTGGTGCTGAGTTGGGCTAGCAAGAACACCAAAACGAGCCAAACAGAGTGAAAGAAAACTCCTAGCTGCCTTTTGTCCCTAGAATAAAAGGGTTACACAAGAACTCCAGTCGTGCAGTAAGATAAAGGGAGTGTAGTAGTGATCATGGCACCAGGTTTCCCTGGGCTGGACCTGAAGTTGCTCACAAGCAAAATGAGGGTTTTTCCAACACTTGCTCCTGAATTTGGAGTCTACCTCGGTGCTAACACCCAAAACCTGCCCTTTTCACCTCAGTGGTGCCTACAGAGGTGACACGGGTGCGCATGGCTGTGTTCTTGTCCCTGGTTTTGGCCCGTGGGATTTGGAGAGGTGGCGATCGATGCCCTGAGACTAAGCGGATCTGGGGCAACACAGTAAATTTCCAGCAAGCTAAGAACTCCCCTAAAAATTTCCTTCAGCAAACTATGGACATTTGGTTGCTATCGTTCTGCTAAACAAACATGAAACTTCTCCGTGCCAGTTTTGCAGCATTGCTTTCTGCGGTGTTCAGCCCTTTGCAGCTCTGATTCTAGCCAACTTGGAAGTGCAAGGCACAAAATTCTCTAGAAACGGGGGACAGGGCCAGCCCAGTATGAGCCTGGCATTGGTACAGTGTTCAGTAGGCTTGTAGTAGGCATAAATTCAGCAGTAAAAGTCTTATGTAAGGGTTGTGCAGCTCTCTTAAGACTTAAAGCCGTGACTGATAAGTGTGTTGCTGTTAGCAAATAACGAGCTGACCCTCAGCTGCTTGGGAGAGCCCTTTTAGTGCAGGGTCCAGATTAAACAGTGAACGTCTGTGGCCATCACATCTATCTACACAGCCTGTGCCCTGAGCCGCTGCTCAATCCTCGCTAAGTGGCGAAAGGCAGGTTTCTTCACTTGTAATCTTAAATAATGGTGTTTGCCGAGGGCTTTGACAGCAGTTACGTGCCAGAAGTCGCGCGTTGGGCAAGGTGCCCTTTATCCTGCGCTGCGGGGCTATCAGGTTATCTCTCCTACAGCCCTTGTCTCGTTGGCTCTGCCCTCCTCCGGCCCCAGGCTGAGCTCCCGCCTTGCCGTGCTCGCTGAAGTGCAGTGTTTGGTTCCAGAGGGTGAAGGGGGAAGCGTACGGGGCTTACGAGGGTTTTAGTTAATTTTTTTCTAGCACTGATGTCTTGACATTCGTCTTCCCAGTGACAGCTGATAAAGGGTTACGTCTTGTCCCCAGACCTTGTCTCGGTCCATAGTTGCAGTTGGCCAGAGTCTGCCTCGGAGCAGATTTGCATCACTCCCTTTGGCTGACGTTGGAAAAGAGCTGAGCTGGGCCACTCGGAGCTAAAATCCTGATTTGGACCGAGATGTTCCTTGGCCTTTGTCAGCAGAAAGCTCCACAACGAACAAATCCCAAATCTCTCCATTTTTCATTGCTTAACGTATGGTTTGAGAGAGCAAGGTAGTTTGCTGAGAGTCAGCCCTTGGAGCCTGGCTTCGTTGCAGAAATATTTGCTCTGCGTGCACTGATTATAATCAAGAACGAGAACAAACTTACTGACTTTATATCCTCCACTCTCCAACTCCAAGAAGAAACCAAGGACCTCAGTCTGGCAAAATTTGGGTTCTTAGGGTTCCTGTGCTCTCTTGCTTCTGCTCCTGCCCCTTTTACATCAGTCCTCTCTCGCGCCGTGGATTTTTTTTACCTCCTCGTGATGCTGGGAGGAGGGAGGAGGCTCCAGCAGCCAAGTACAGAGCACAGGGTGGAAGTGGTGAGCTTGGGATGTGTAAAGAAAGAAGTACAGAAATAGGAAGGTGGTGAGCAGGCGTTTTTGGCAGCGTGCTTATTACGTGCTGAGGTTGGGGAGAGAGTTACCTGGGCAACTGGCTGGGATTTAATTCCAGTACATTTCCACTGTCACGGGTGCCGGGTACCCGTCCTCGTAATTATGCCCCTTGCTGCTGACACCTGGAAATCTTTTAGCTCACGGACAGAACTTTTAGGCAACCTTTTCTAACTAGGTCTCGCTGGAAGTTTTAAAGCCTCTTTCGGGTATGTAGGGCATGGTGAAATCCTTTGCAGCTCTGGTTTTAGGCTGTAATGCTGAATCTGCATAGGGCAACTTCTGGATAAGATTTGTCAGCTGAGGTCGTGATTTCCCGTGCAGTGTCTTATGGCTGCAGGATTTGGACAGCAGTCAGAAAAGAAACAGCAAGTTTCGTTACGTGCAGCGAGTAGCTGCTTTCTCACCAATATTTCTTTAGCGATTCATGGTTTAATTCATCTAGGAGGATTTCTCAATGGGCTTATACAAAATTCATACCAATGACATTATAGCTCCCCAATAACATTCTAGCTTCTTGGTTTTAATTAATTAAGGCCTCGTGCGTGGAGTTTGTTGGCCTGGTTTTCTTTAGCCTGTGTTTGCCAGGTGCTGGTGCTGCGCCGCTCAAGCCTTGGCTGCCCACAGCTCTCATTTGTGTAATGAGAAGAGCAAGTCCTTCCAGCGTGCAGGGCTGAGCGCGGCGTTTCCCCAAGAAAGAAGCCTAATTGCTTCCTTATTGCCAATATTGCAGCCATAGGGAACGCGTACGCCGTGTTGAGCAACGCGGAGAAGAGGAAGCAGTACGACCAGTTTGGAGACGAGAAGCTCAACCCCGCTCGCCACGGCCACGCTGACTTCCACCGCGGCTTCGAGGCGGACATCTCCCCCGAGGACCTCTTCAACATGTTCTTTGGTGGTGGTTTCCCCTCTAGTAAGCCTGCTAAGCCTTCCTCTCGTGCACGGGACCCAGTCCTTCTCACACAGCAGTAATGCAGCAATTACTTGGATTATTTAGGCTCTTCCCCACAGCCCAATTTGATGGGAATTCTCCTTCACAAGTGACCCCAACATGCAGAGTTTCTAAGTTGTTCAGAGGGGGTACTCAGAGAATGCACCAAGCAGCAGGTAACACCCTCAAAGCTGGGTTTCTTCCCAGCTCCAGGTGTTTGTTTGCGTGCTGGCAACATGGACTATTTTTGAGGTTGGGTTGAATATTAGAACAAAAATGATTTGTTTTAATGCTATTTGTCAAAGTAAGCCTGTTTTGAAAAGATATTTTCTGCCTGGTGGTTTTGGACGCTAAATCTTCTCATCAGAACAAACTATAATAACTTCTGGGTCTTGTTCTTGACCCGTATCTGCTTTGTCACCCAGCCCATTTCATTGAGATGAGTCTCCACTCCCTTTCCTCTGCTGTGTCCCCTAGAAAAGCTGGAAAGTTTATTTCTAGAGCATAATTTAAACTATTTGAGTCAAATCTATATCAAAAACCTACACGGTGCCGATCACTGTTTGGGAGCAGGAAGAAACAGAGCGACCCTTGTTTCTCTTGATCAGTTCAGATCAAAAAGACACGTTTAATATCAAGGTAGGGGCATTTTGGAAGACTCCCTAGTATTTTCTGCAGTCAGAGTTGGCTGGAAGTGAAGGCATGATTATTTGCCCTCTCTGGACAAACTTGGAAAAATAAATATTTCTGTTTCAGGCAAAAAAAAAATCTTTCCTATCTGATTTTTAAGAATTGGCACACTGACTTCAATTACTTGAAAAAGCATCCTGAGACCTTTTGTATTCATGTTCTGCCCAGTGGAGAGGTAAAGCTATTCCAGTAAAAACAGTGAGCTGCTATTTTAGCTTCACCTCTTTTCCTCTCCTCTCTGTCCCAAAAGAATTCAGGAGCAGTTTCTCAGCTGGTCTCCCTTTTCAGCTGTAGTTTTGACATTTAAGACAAGACGTGCAGGAGCTCTCTTTTTGTGGTGGAAGAAGATACCAAAATGTTCTCTCTTTAACATGTTTTAATCTAAAATTAAATTCTCTTCAAAGTAGGAAGCCTGGATATTCTTTCTGCATAGCTGAGCCTGCTTCAAGCAGGAGGTTGGCGCACTAGGTGACCTCCTGAGCTCCCTCTCCTGTGATCCAGATTTCCTATAAAATCCTAAGGCTGCATCTCGGTGGCCACCACGTCACCTCCAGGCAGATTGCTCAGCGTGCCCTGAGAATATTCCTCTTTCAGCTGGGGCTCTATCCAGAGATTCTTGTGGAAATGCTGCCTTCGGGTCATAAATATAGGGTTTTTTTTTTTTTTTTTGAATAAATTCTCTTATCAGTCCCCTATGGAGTCTCATATGCCCATCACCTAAAAGTCCAGCGAGCTGTCAGGATTCCGTCCTTCACTTCCTCCCCCTGAGACATCCCTGCTTAGAAGTCAGGACCTTGAGTCAGGTTCTCTTTATGAGAGTCTCTCCCTCTGTCCTTTCGTCTTTGCCGAGCCTGGCCGAAACCCAAGAAGCTCCAAGTGACACATTTCTGAATTCCCTGGGAATCTGCTTTCCAGTCAATGAGGCCAGTGTGGATCGTGGCCGTTTTGGGCTCCCTGCTAGGCAGCCAGCGGGGTGTAACGTGCTGCGAGTGCTTCCTAACGCTCTCCTTTCGCCTATAGGTAACGTTCACGTATACAGCAACGGCAGGATGCGCTATACCTACCACCAGAGGCAAGACAGACGAGAGCACCAGGGTGATGTAAGTGCAGGAGCGGCTGGGGACTGTCAAAGTGTTTCTGGTATCAAAATTGCAGCTATCTGGCATGTCTGCTCAATGGGTCAGTTCTGTTTTTGCCCTTCTGGGCAGAAATGAGTAATGGGGAGTAAATTAACTCCAGAATTTACAAGAAACTGCTGGTTTAATTATCTGGCTGCTCTCCCTGGGCTTTCAGAGCTGTCTTTCGAGGGGGGGAAAAGAGTGATGTGTCTTGATACAGCAACCTCATGAAATAAGATTGCATCAGTAAAACGCATTTGTTTTCTAACACGGGGTAAACATTTCTTTTCTCATTCAATCCCTCCATTTCAAAGAGCCAGCCCATCTTTCAGGTGCTGTATACTCCTCCAACCCCTGCTTAGATCAAGAAGAGCAGCCCCATAGGGTCCTCACGGACCCAGGCGCGTGGCTGCTGCTCCACTGGGTGTTTCTCTTCCCGCAGGGCGGCCTGGGCTTGTTTGTGCAGCTGATGCCCATCCTCATCCTCATCATCGTGTCCGCCCTCAGCCAGATGATGGTCTCCAGCCCACCCTACAGCTTGAGCCACAGGCCGTCAGTACCTGCTTTGCTTAAAACTTCTCAGCCCGGCCTTGGGGTTGGCTTCTGGAGGGCAGGGGGGCAATATCGGGTAGGGAATTAGACTCGGGTTTTCCTGCCTTGTTTGGCTTTATCTCGTGCCCATGTTGCTCCCTCCCAGGCGTCCCCCACACGTCAGGTAAGAGCGGCTGCTTCTCAAGCAGACCTGGGGCTGGAGGGCCCAGGGGTCTCGCAAGAGGGGCAACCTGCCTGGAGCAGAGGGTTTATTTTGGCAGGGAGCTTGGGCAGTGCCAACGAGAGCAGGCTTGAGTTCTGGCTGCTCGTGCCATCCTTGCAAAGGCTTCATCTGTTGTCCCTGGAGTCCCTTATGTGTGTTTAAAAGGCTAGTGGAGGGCAGGTTTGTCTGCAGGCTGTGGGCCCTGTGTTTAGTTTCACTGGTGACAGTGTTTGCCAATGGTGACCTTAAATACTACGAAGGCAGGATCAGCTTTCAAGTCCAAGGCAAAGGCTGGGACATTAGTGCCTAGAATAAAGGTCACGCGGAGAGCCTAAGGAGTATTGAGACGTGATGTCTGGGGTATTCGTTAGCACTGTAGAAATGAGTGTTTTTGTATCTAGACCCGTTTGGTACTGGTGAAGAGGGGGAGAACCATCCTTGAGCCCCAGGCCTTTCTCTGCCAACAGGCTCCAAGCGAGCCCTGCATGTCGAGGCTCATGCCTGGCTCTGAAGCAAGTGCACGTTTTCATGGTGCTTTTACCTAGTTCCCATCCTGGGCGCTCAGGCAACGCAGCCGCCCCGATTTCCAAGCTCGGCTTGGGGCAGGAAAGGCCAAGGAGCCGATCCAGGCGGAGCAGAGCTCCGGCACCCCGCCGGAGGCACCGGGATGAGCTGGGAATGCTTCCCGCGCCGGCAGGCGGTGCTCCCGTGCGCTTGCTCGCGCGGGCGGCCGGCCCCTCCGCGCTGCTGCCGCGGCCGCCCTCGCCTGCTGTTTGGCAGAGACCTGGGGCTCCCCGTGCCGAGCTCAGGGGACAGGCAGGGGCCTGCTGGCGAGGAAGCAACAGGGGGGTTTCATTAGTGCTGGAATTTGTGGGGATCACTTCATTCCAGACGTGTTTAGCCCTCGGGCAATCTGCCCCCGGGGATATGTCTGTCAGAGCTCTGCCCACCTCGCTGGAGGCCAGGTGGGTTTTGCTCTCCCCGTGTCAGTGTTTCAGGCCCAACAGAAACGCTTCTCCTCAGCAAAGCCTCCAGTCCTGGGTGCACAGGAGTACGATGGGGGCTTTGAGCGGTATCGAGGCGCGTCGGGTGGTTTAAGGAGCCGGGAGCCTTCTGCTCTGCCCTGAGGAGCATCCCAAACCGCCCTGCCTCCGCTCCTTGGTTTAGGTCTGTGAGTCACACGCACAGGAGGGTGACGGAGCACTTGAAAGTCGTCTACTACGTCTCGGAGAGCTTCGCAGAGGAGTACACGGGCGCCAACCTCAAGAACGTCGAGCGGAGCGTGGAGGACGACTACATCGCGAACCTCCGAAACAACTGCTGGAAGGAGAAGCAGCAGAGTGAGTAGCGCGGGGGCAGCAGCCCAGGGCCCGGCCCGCAGCACGAGCTGGAGAATGACCCCCGCCTTCCCGAGCGGGCGGCGGGGACGTGGCCCGGGGGATCCGTCCCCGCGGGGCCGCACGGCGTGCTTTGACGTGGGCTTCTTCCTTCCGCAGAGGAGGGCTTGTTGTACCGGGCGCGCTACTTCGGGGACTCGGACCTGTACCAGCGGGCGCAGAGGATGGGCACCCCCAGCTGCAGCAGAGCGAGTCCTCGTGAGTGTCCTCGGGCCGCGCGCGCGTCGCGGGGCCAGCGCCGCCCCCCGCGCCCCGCGCACGTTCACTGGGGAACTGATCCCGTGTAGTTTGCATGCCGGCCCCCTCGGCTCTGTCCACGCGTGCTCTTTCCTCCGGCCTTGTCGGCGCGGGTCCTCTAGGAGCAAAGCGGAAGCCCCAGGCGCGTCGGCGACCTGGCTGAGGCCTGGCCAGCTGTGCGCTCGATACACTGGTGGTTTTGTGCCTTGGCTGGTTGGAAGTTTCTATTTTTTTTTCCCCCTGCCCGTATCCTGCAAAGCCTTTCCTGGCCTTGGCAGCCAGCTGCCACCTTGCAGCGAACCTTTTCTGTTGCTTTCTTGTCTGTTTGACTGAAAAGCTGTTATCCTTTGGCACTTGGAGAAATACGACGACAGAGAATGGACTCGTGCAAAACAGATATTCCTTGCCCCCCACCCCGTGGCCTTCCCGTGGCACTCAAAAGCACACAGCCGCGCTTGCAGCAGGCCGTGGAAGTAACTGGGTCAAACTGGGAAACAAAGTGCAAACAGACTCCCGGGTTGGAGAGCCTGAATTAAGGCAAGCTGAGCTGGCGTGGAGGAGGGCTGGTCCTGGGAGACCCGCCTGAAAATAACGCAAAAATTGGAGTTCTGAGGCCCATTTCTGCTCCGTTATTTGGGCTGCTTTCGCTAGGAGGGCTGTAAAACCCCCAGGCCTCCTGTGCCCGCACAGCTGGTTGGAAGCGGGGCTTTCAGCTGAAAGGGGAGCGCAGCCCGCGTCTGGGTTTTGTGGACACCTTTTAGGCCTCCAGAGTCATCTCCGGGCCCGCGGATATCCAGCTACGTGACCCGCAGGCACAAGCAAGAAGGTTTGGCAGTGGAATTTTTGGTCGTTTTTGTTTTCCTTGGCAAACGGAGCACATGAGCCCTCAGATCAAATCCTGTGGCGCATATTCTGCCTTTCTTTCTTTTTGGGTGTATCCCGCTTCTTACGTTGATCCACCCACCGGGGTGATTTGCTAACTGCCCCTCTTAACGGGAGGCCCCTGCGAATTGCCTATTTCCTTTGCAAAATGCACCCGGGACCCAAGCGGAGCCTCCCCATAGCCCAGGGAAAGGCAAGGAGAGGGAAGCAGCGGGGTTTGCAGAGCACCACAATTCCCGCTTTTCTCCCCAGGCTCTCCAAACCCCGCAAGACTCTCGGTGAAGTGCACTGAGCCACGGTGACAGACACTGTATTAAAAGAATCAAACCTTAAATTAAAACGGAATGGGAGCGTTAGCGACGCACAACCGCCCTCTCACCTCTCACTGTCCGTCTCCGCCGTTAGACGTCCCGGGCAGCAATCAGGAGAGGAAGTAAAGCTGCCCATCCTCCTCCTCCCGAGCGCAACGCTCTGGTTGCTCCTAGGATGTCACTGCCACGAGGACAAGTGTGCAGAGTGAAAAAGTAGGAAAAAATAAAACCAACTGCAGAAGGCACCGAGGAAAAGGAGACCCTCCGTGACCGCGACGGTCACTCTTGGTGGAGAGAGAAAACGGACAACTGGGGGATGAAAGAACACTTAAGAAGGAAAATATAATCTATTTAGAATTAATTTATAGCTGTATATATGTTGTACTTTTAAACTATGCAGAGATCGGGGTAAATTATTGGGTTTTCCGCCAGGTTTTAGCACGGCGGGAAGCAGCCGCTGCTCCCGCCTCATCCACTAACCCAGGGAGCCCTGTGCAGCGGCCGTGTCTTGTTCTCGCGAGGGCCCCGGCGTCCTGGGGCTTGGCTTGGGGTGATGGGGCCGAATAAAGGAATTTTCACATCCACAGGGGGTGGAAATTACACTGAACCTGCCCGGGCTGGGGGTTTGGCAGAAGCGAAGAGCGGCTTCGCATGCGGCGTCTCCTTCGGTGCAGGACTGTCCTCGGTGGCTTTAGCTCGTCACTTCTTGGGTTTCTTTGTGCACGTAACTGTCTTTTTTTTTTCTTCTTTTCGCAGCGTCTGCTTTCATTTTGCCTCGTAATCAGCGCGCAGTGAACAGGGCTTTCCATAGCCCTCAGCCCTCTGTGGCCTTGTTGTATTTTTCCCCTCCCAACGCTTGCTTTTTTTCCCCTCTTGCTCCCGCTGGTAACGCCGCCCCCGACCCGATGTTTGCCGCGTTTCTTCGAGGAGACCTGGAAAATCCTGGAGAAACGCAGCTCGTCCTTGCTTCTGTTGAAAGAAGTTTTCCTGGGATGGGGGGGATCCCTTCCGCTGGATCCCCCCTGGATTCCCGGCTGAGCTTTGCAGAGAGCAAAGCGGGAGAGCGCCCGAGGCGCTGCTCGCTCTTTGCAAGCAAATACAGAGCGAGCGCAGTTAGTGCAATAAACTGGATTCGGTTTTGTTTTATTTTCGTACTCTGCAGTTGAGTTTGGTCTAAAGATGTTTCCAGGGGGAACCGTCCCCATAGGGGGCTCAACCCAGGCAGCAGTCACTTCAGGTAGGGTGGAAAGAGGGCTGGAGAGGCAGGAGGTGAGAGGGTTTGGCTTCCTTAGCAGCAGAAGGCCGTCCGTTTTGGGGGTCGTATTTATTTCCCGCTGCCTGTGCGCCTTATTATCCCACAGCTACCACGACGTGGACCAGGATTTTAAAGGTGTTGTTTTTTTTCTTGCAGTTCCTTGGTCTTTGGGTGGGATTTGGGCATCATGGACTAACTGGTAGAGACACAAAGAGCTCAGGGGAGGGGGTTAAGCAAGAGCGACGTTCGCAAAAGTCACCAAATACCTTGGCAGAGCCAGCCCACCAAACCTTCCATTTTGGGTTTTTCCCGTTTTTTTGGCGCAGATACCCGTGGATAACAGGAGTGAGGAAGCGGGTGCTGCCCCAAGCTGTATTTCCTGATTTAATTTTCCCCCTGTACATCTATAAATAAATGTTTCTAACGTGCGAGGCCTCCGCAGTGCTGGTGTCACGCAGGCAGGAGGCTTTTCCGATGCTCCTTGGCTTCCAGGCCCCTTCCCAACTCCTAATTGGGAAAGGCAGCAGTGCCAACTGCTCCAGCAGGTAAGCTTCATCCCAAATCCTTCATTTTTAGGAGGAAAAACACCAGAAATGGGAAGCCAGTGCCGTGGGGGCACTTGGTGTCACCAGGCCGGTCACGCGCGCCGTGCGATGCCCCCACATTCCCCTCTTGCTTTCCCAGGAAGGGCTAAATAAAGGTGCCCTCTGGCACCTTCCTGGCGAAAACGTCCCGTCCCTGCTTTCCCCATGGGGACCTTGTTTTCCCCCTCGCTGCTTCCCATTTTTAACCTCGGAAAGGGCATCTGGCTATAAATAGGCCGGGCATTCTGCTCACGCGGCTCCCGGCGGGTGCGGGAGCAAGTGCCACCGCGATTCCCCCCCTACGGCCACACACGTAAGTGATCTATAGAATGTATAGATTAGAAAATGTACGTGCATGTTGTGGGTGCTCTCTATGCCCCAGTTTTCCCAAGGCAAACTGGGCATCCCGCCCGGCAAACCCAGCTCCACTTGCTCCTCCGAGGGCTGGGGGATGCTCAGGGATCTGGTGACTGGTTGTATTTCCTCAAAAAAAAATTCCCGTTTTTTTTTTTTTTTTTTGAGGAGGGGACCATTTTCTCCCTCATTTCTTGTTTTCACTTAGTCTTGTTAACTATGTAGTAGATAACCCAGGGTATTTGCACTGCCCTAGGCTGGCAACATCACCCCTGGCTTCCCCTTGACTGCAGGTGACTGTATATATATCAAATGTGTGCGTATGTTATGTACGGTTCCTGGCAGGGCACCACCAGCCACTTCCTTGTCCCATGCCGTGGGAGCTGGCCAGGCTCTGGGCTGCTCCTCACCAGTGACAGGGACATCCAGGACAGGCCTGACTCAGCGCAGCCGCCCCTGAGTCACCCGTTGTGTCCTGAAATTAGAGGTAACCAGAG